ATTTCTATCAAAAATATTACATGGGAAACAAAAGAAATGCTAAGCTGAAGCTGGCTCGTGATCCTGTATTACACCTTCACGCGGTACAGCTGATACATCTGCCGCATCAGAAAGTTTCGGCACGTTGCCTGAACTTGTGCACTGTGGTTATGGTGACAGAAAAAACGGTGCACGTAAAATCTGATAGGACTGCAGCCTATCCCTGTTGCCATTACTGTTGCTTCAAGAGCTCTAAGCAGCTTTCTATCCCAGCTTTTGATTATTCTCCACAATTTGAATGCAGTACAGCACGAGTGGCTGGTTTCGAACAAATAACTTGAACATACAGTTTGACAAGTGTGTCATGTTTAGCTTGCTTAAAGGTCTGAAACAACTACTATCATTCCAAGTATTTTCAAGTATATGAATTCTAAGACCCAAACTACAAATGTTTTATCTTTGCCAACTCAGGCACGAGCTGCTTGTTTCTGCATGTGTGCTCACATATCTCTAAAGGAAAGCGGTGCTTTTGGCACTCTCAGGCATTTTATTTACGCATTTTCCAGGCACAGTTTAAGAGGCTGCTTCTCCAACTAGCCACCGTTATTGTGTCCTGTGTCCCCCATTGACTTCATTAGGAGCGCTGTGCACAGAGGATTTCTGAGGGTGCTAAAATCATCAGATGGGGTGTTGAGCAAAGAGGAAACCAGACCAGTAAAGAAAGCTCCCTTGAACAATCAGATTTTGATACTAAAACCTTGGTGTACTGTAGGTAGTGCCTAACATGTTTACAGGTAAAACGTGTACATTTTTTAAAGCATATGCATTGCTTTTAGCCCAGTATTTTTCAGGAACAGCAAAGAACTTGCTTTTCAATGCAACCCTAAAAAATTTCCAGGAAAAGATTGTGCTCCTCTGTTGACACATTCAAAACATGATGAACAACATCCTTGAAGTACCTATTAACAATTTAATAACGGTATTCATGAAATGAAGATCTTGGGAGCATCTGGTATTAAAAAACTTTGCCAAAATCTGCAGGCAGCACCTCTGTTTGCAAGAGCCCCCGGGGATGCTGTTGCAAATCAAAACCTTTCTACTCTTCCATGCAGTTTAATTGTGGTCTTGAAATATTTATGAAAGTGGGTTCATTGTGCTTTGCCACAGCCACACCAGAAAACATGCATGCCATGTACACACCGTGACTTCAGACAGCAGAAAGCAGCGCTCAAGGAAGATAAAGCAATATTTTAGGAAAAACAAAGAAGAGAGAAAGCAGAGTTTTCTAGCCAAATGCTCCAACAACAGGGGCCTGCCTGCTGGAGTTACCCGTCTCTGTAGGTCAGGTTTTATGCTACTACCTGTCTCTTTTATGCTTGCCCTGTAAAATCAGTGTCAGGCACAAGGGATTCATGAAGTCTTTGACTCTTCTCCTTTTTAAAGGTCAGGGCTCCACTTTTTAATTGGGAAAGCAAAAGGTGAATGAGTCTGACCATGAACACTGCTGCCCGCATTACGTGCCTTAGGAGGCTCAAAGACTGGCCAAATACGTTAGGGCTTTCTGGGGTAGCCCAGGGGAGGGAGGAGGGGGCATTACAAAATTATGCAGTTTCTTGGGAAAAGGAGGTGTTGTTTGAGCCTAAAGAGGACTTACCAATTACTGTACCTGGAGCTGGAAGTGAAAAGTGGTCACCAATGTGAGTTCAAGCTAGTGACAGTATTGTCATCCAAATATTTGTTTAATAACTTTTTTGATAGATGTTTCTTTTCCCTCCATCAAAACTGTGCCTTTTAATTTTGACAACTCCATTCTTCCTCCATGGTAAAAAAAAAAAAATAAAAGAACCCTAAGAAGGCTTAGGTCTGGGGAAGTTTAGGTTTGTTTTACTTCTCCAGGGAAGTGCAAGGAGAGGGGAAAGAAGACAGACTGAACATGATTTGATTTTGGAAAACTGGACTATTTTTCTCTTTTTCTTTTCTAAGAGCAATAGAAACATCGTGGGCAGTACGAAACAGTTTCACTGCTGTTAGAAATCTTCATTGGAAAAATGCAAAATATTTTGTTTTGCTCTGATACTTATTGCGATACATCTAATGGCTGACCAGATTTGTTTCTCATTTTTCAAGGATCATTTCAGTACTTCCAGTAAATACATGTTTTGCCTAATCTTGATCTATCTAGGTATTCCTAGAGTGATCTTCAGCACAGATTTTGAACCAAAATGTAAATTTCTGAATAAATTTGCTATGCTTAATAAATTCCATTATTTCTTTAGAAGGAAGTATAAAAAAGCAGAGAAGTACTTCCTCTCCTCTCCTCTCCTCTCCTCTCCTCTCCTCTCCTCTCCTCTCCTCTCCTCTCCTCTCCTCTCCTCTCCTCTCCTCTCCTCTCCTCTCCTCTCCTCTCCTCTCCTCTCCTCTCCTCTCCTCTCCTCTCCTCTCCTCTCCTCTCCTCTCCTCTCCTCTCCTCTCCTCTCCTCTCCTCTCCTCTCCTCTCCTCTCCTCTCCTCTCCTCTCCTCTCCTCTCCTCTCCTCTCCTCTCCTCTCCTCTCTCTCCATTTCTCCCTTTCTCCCTTTCTCCCTTCAGCAACTGCATGTTTCCCTCTTAGATTTTACCAAAGCTCTCATGCACATACATGCTTGCCACTTGTGCATGATGTTCAGACTGGAGTTTGTGGGGAGTGGGTCCATTGGTTTATTTTGCCAAAGCCAGGCTTAGCATCCTCCGTTGAATACATATCTACATCTCTCATGCCTTCCCTACTTGCTCCTCCAATCTCTCCACTAAAGTGCTCTGCTTTGGTAAACTTTTGCCTGTTAAAGCACTTCTCTAGTTTATGGCCCACATTTCTTTAAACTGTCACTGCTGTCTTCAGTGTGAGACTATTTCCTGGTATCTTTATGATAACTGTCTCCAAAGTTATTGTGTGATATGCTGTTTACTGTATCTGCTATTTCTTATGTAATGCTCTGAATTGAAATGTTAAGTGTTGGAACCAAGGCTTAGCTCTAGCATTTTTCAGCAACCTTTCTCTCTATATCATATCATATCATACTCATCATAACCTTTTTCATTTAATTTTTTATCTGGATTTATCCAAGATTCTATTGAAAATTTCCCTTATAAAAAATTCATTGAAGATCTATATTCTATGAGAAGCCTGCATAACATTCATCAGTAATATTTTTTGATTTTACCCCTTTGCTTATCATATATATGTTTGAATGCAACATAACATGAAATATGAGTGGCCCGTAATTTCCAGAAACAGTTAGATAGCGTTCTGTTTCTTAGTGAAGTCTCATCTCTTTTCCTCCAAAGATTGCAGAGCTTCATAGTTAGCAATCCTTTCTCTTCTTCCTATTTTCATTTTATATATTTTATTTCATTCATGAAATTTCTTCCGAAGGGTGTAAATTACCACTAATATAGCAAAAAATCCCAGCTGATTGTGTGTAGATGAAAGACTTTGATTTAGACTAATGGTGGACTAATTTTAGGATTCTCTATTTTATTCAGCATTGTAACATTCTGCCTGATCCTTTCTCTAACGCCTTAGTGTCTCGCCTGCACTGAATGACTTCTGAGTGTTAAGGACATACATCACCATTTCCTCTGATGGTTATTTAAAAAAGATTCTGCTTCCATTGCCTATTCCCATCACAGGAATCACAGCACTCCTTACCTCTTGCTACGTCTATTCAATTTTCATTTAATTCATGATGCTTCTTATTTCCCATTTTTCAGCTAGCTGTAAAGGTATTTGTTAGCAGTAGCGCCTATCTTGGTTCACCTTCTGATTTCATGAGAGAAGAAAGAATACATCTTCTGCCACAAAGAGCTTCCCTGAGAAGAAAGTTGTGTATTTCTGGATTGCCTATAACCTTCCCGCATGACTCCGTTTACTGCTCTACAACAGGGGAATAATAAAGCTCACCTAGGGCTTAAATACATATTGTTGGACATGTATTCAAGATATTTGGGGACCCGACCTAGGACTCTTCTTCCTCTTCTGTTATTTTGCCAGGTACCTAAGTGCCCTCTGACAGCTAATTTCTTGCTGGTCCTACAAAAGTTTTCTCTTGGATTCCTTCTCCTACTGAAGTAAGGTGCAAGTGTCTGTTTAGCCTTGGTAGACACATCTTTGCTCTTTCGGTGCAATGATACTTCATTGTACGGCGTTATCTCTTAGGACTTCCGAGACTTCTGCTTTTGCCAAAAGTAGGGTAATTAAATTGCCTCATTAAAATGAGGTCCTATGACTATAAAGTCCCCCAGCTCTCTCAGGGAGACCAGAGGTCTACCTGCTTTCTGGCAGACCATCCCATCAAATCTTTCCTAGCTGATAAAACATTAGCACTTAGTTCGTTACCCATCAGTATTTCATTTACTTTACAGGTACTTTACTCCCAGCTGGATGGCTCGTGGGACACACAGCCTGACCAAGAGCGTCCCAAAGCAAAGGCACATTCTGGATGACAGCGATCCACACTACACTTCCCGATGACAGGGCACGCTGGGGATGTTGCTAAGCACACCCATGAGTGCATTAGAGAAGCAGAAGACAGCGAGCAGAAAGCAAGAGGATTATCCAGCACAAAGAGGCAACGCAGACCATCCCGAGCCAAGTTGCCTGGCTCTTCTCCATGGCATCTCGCTCGTCCTTCCTACATGCTCCAAGCCTGCTTTCTCTTTTTGTTTTATGCCCGTAGGAAGCGTGGGCTCTGCAAGGCAAAACCTGCTCCTCTTCGCTCTGCCAAGGACCCCACGCCCCTTACGCACCCCTCTGCCTTAAGTTAAGGTGCAGGAGCCAAAAGTCTCACACGTATCTGCAAATGGTAATTTTTAGGACATACTTTGTCACTGTTACGTAGGAACATTCCATACCATGGACGGAAATGTTGGAAATCGACAACCACCTGACCAGCCCTTCCTGGGACCCCGCTCCCAGCCCCACTGCCCTCGGCTGCCCCACGCCCCAGAGAGGCGACGGTGGCTGTGTGGGGCCGGCCGCACTCACAGCACGCAGAGGCAGTAGACTCCTGGGATGCTCTCACTGTCCCGCAGTAGGTAGCTGCCGTC